ATATATATATAATTTCCCACCAATTATTTACTAGTTACTAGAAGTGCTAAAACAGCACGTACCATCTTCCCCGCACTTTTGTACAAAATTACGCGAAAAGTACTCAAACTTTATTGAAAGTCTTATTTCAATATCTGTTTTTAAGGAACAGATTTCACTAAGACAAAAATATCTTTAATATTTTAGTTGTAGGAAGACTAAAAAATTTTGAACATTTGCAATTTTCGAAAAATCAGGGTTTTCAACGTAAATGAGACCTGATCCATTCTCCTAAACGTCTTTCAACAACAATATTTAATAAAAAAAGATCCGGCTATTTTGTTTTGAAAATTGGGAAAATGTCCCAGAGACTTCACGTAAAGTACCCCACCCTCCAAAATAAAAATATCGATTTCAAATTCAAGGGTTGCGACATCAGCCAGATAGATCGAGGAATATCAATTTTGGAGAAAGTCGGCTGAATGGTTTAGCACAATGAAAAGTTACTTCTAGGCTGCCCGGGTGACGCCGCGTCGTTGGCAGATAGGCCGACGTTTCGCCTGTCATGTCGCAGGCTTCTTCAGGGTAGTGAGACAGTAAAGCTCCGCCTCCGGTGTTATGTCTTTTTCAGCTTAGGGGTCGGGTAACGCAAGTGCGCCGTGATTGGCGAAGAGGTCCCTCTGATTAGCTCGCGGTCTGGGCCAACCCCCTCCCCCCCAAGAAAAAAAAGATGTAACACTGGAGGCGGAGCTTTACTGTGTCACTACCCTGAAGAAGCCTGCGACATGACAGGCGAAACGTGGACCTATCTGCCAACGACGCGGCGTCACCCGGACAGCCTAGAAGTAATGGGCTCGAGCCGTTTAAGCCTACGTGAACACAATGAAAAGTTGTTCGCACACGGATAGAGGACGGACAGACGATTTGCTGTCATTCGACTTTTCGGAATCAACGACTCACTTAACATATATTCTCGCTACACGACGTGTTAGTAGACTTTTTCTAAATTTAGCAACTGAATTTATCCACTTTTTTGTCACCAGGGTCATGTAATAACAGTGTTTCTGCTGAAAATTCGCAGTTTTGACGCGCAGCATCATTAATTTGCTCTCTTTTCCGTAGAGAGAAAGCAAAAAGTGACCTTTGTTCCTAGTAGCTCGTAACATTTATCCAGAGACACCTGATTTCAATATTCATAGACAGGTGATGGGTGGGATATCTATTGTGTGTAGGTATTGGGTTAGTTTGAAAACAAATTAGGTGGCACTCCAAAGCAATATTTCATGTACGTAGGAGAGTACGTTCGTAGGTCGTTCGTCAGTTTAATTAACATGCATTCATTAAAAAAAAATGTGTTTACACCTCTACTACAATTCAGTCCGAAATATTTTTCATGTGTCAGCTTCTTAAATTCATGAATAGTTCCCTTCATTTCGAAATATGGCAAGCCATCTGAATGGTGCTAATTGTGCATTTATGTAAAACGCAATGTCTATGTATTTAAATGAAGTTAGAAAAATATGAACAAAATTGTTCTTAAATCAGGTATAAATGAACAAAAAATTAAACGCAATTACCAAACCAATATGCTAAAAGACACGAACATAGAAGATAAGCACAGAGTAACATTTAGTGTCGTGTCGTACTTACGTCCAAGCAAACTGCTCGTTCGGGCCACCTTTCTTGAGACCAATCCACACATTATTCACCACATCCAATTCTTTTAGATAGGCGCGAGTTGTGTCGAACTGCACGCTGTTATCCACTGTAAAAAAAAAGAGAAACCAATGCTTAGGGAAAGGATCGGAAATTATAGCATACCTTCTATTACACATCAATTGATTGACTGATGAATGATTTTAGGCGCGTCAACTGCTGAGTCATTAGTTCGAAGCGGGTGCGGTGCAGAAAGGAAGCGACGAAATGCCGGACCGTTATATCGAAGCGAAAATTCTGATTCAACATTTGGTGACACTTTTCCTCATCCGACAAACAAAGGCTAGGGAGAGCGAAGACTTCCGAAGGCGGGCGGACTTTCACGAAACTCGAGCGGCAACGAAAAAAACAAGTCCGAGAGTAATGCTTGTAAAATTCAGCAGTTTTGATTAATATAACAATATTATATTTAATTACTATATTTTTCTATTAATTTTCTTTTTGTTGCTAGCGGTATCAACAATGCAAATTTTAAAATTCCATAGGAATTAGCTGTCATTGTTGTTTGTTGCAAGACAGTGTTGTAACGCCGCACTGATAACAACGCGATAATGACGAATTATTTTCTTCGCATTAATATAAACAAATAATTTTGTTTACGTCTGAAATACGCACCACGCATCGTTGGTACATTCATGCAGAATTCGGGAAATACACCGAATAGCAAGGCTGTTTTCGTTTAAACCTCCGAATAAAGAAAAATATCTTACTTTAAGAATTTTTCAAACGGTAATTTTATTTTTTCTTCTTAATTGGTTTCGTCTATATTGGAACGCGACTCCAAACTCAGGAGCGTTGAACACACTGTGGTAATCCCCTGTTAATAAGCGCCCTCTAAGGGCCGTTGTGTTGTCAAGTTACGTCAGTCATAGTCAAGTCAGGGAATCGCCGACAGATAGCGTATTCGGCCTCGCACAATAGAGTAGAGTTGTATCTCTCCTCTACGCCTCGCAATCGCCCTGCGTCATCTACACATCGGCCAGAATTGGGAAAGAATAACGATAGGAGTAAAGTATAGGACGCTTCACAGGGGTTGGACTAGCCCTTGTGAAGAAGGTAAACTCGTTTTGTGGTAACAAACGTCACATGAGGTTCTACGGGGACTCTATGAGAATCGAACCAGGACCCTCCGTGGTGAAAGGCAAGCGCCACTGAGCCACGAGAGGGTTGTGAATCGACGTGAAATATAAACATTGTCATAGTTTAATATTACACAGCCATTGACAATATCGCGAAACGTTGGACGTTGTAGCTACACTAGCTTTTTTTAGTACAACGATTCAAAACATTCCTCCGTCTCAATTTAAATGGACCCCAGGTCAGATTAGTGATGTTCTGTCTCGGTGAACACTAATTCCTGATAGAGTACGAAATTTCTTTAAAAAATTTGGAAACTGATTCAACATATACATATTGAGCATATATTCTATATGTGATTCAACAGTCAACACAGGATGAACATCTCAAACATATTTCTTAACGTTGCTCTTGCACACCCATTGACACAATCTACTCATTACTGCCGAGTGCTCTTTTTCGTCGACTCCACAGAGTAACAACTTCCCACCTTGCCCTTTGAATGACTTCGCGGCAATCTCATCCCTTCCGGATTCCCATCGATTGTTCTTGGCATTCGTAATTCATGAGCACAAAGCGAGACCCTTAGAATTCGCTTCCTAGTCAAACCTTCTCCACTGCTTGTTCTTGCATAAACATTCAGCAGCATTGATGCAGCTATATAATCTGCTGCAACCTATCAGAGCCTGAAAACTTAGGGGCGCTGGATGGCTATTGAAATCAAGATTTTGCTGCCGCTTATCGCTCGTGCATCAGTGCACTGAGATATATTTTGCTATAATCAATAGCTGTCCCATCTACGAAAGGGACCTTGAAGTGTTCATGGCAAACATTTGTCAACTCAGTTTTAAACAGCGAATAATATAACTTTTACAATAGTGAAGATGTATACCCGTCGCAACGTTTCGCGAGATATTTTTCTAACGGGCGCAAACCCTTTAGTCCTTTGAACCAACAGAGAAAGCTAACGGAATCTGCCCAACAAGTGCCCCTTAGGGTGAGTCTAGAACCATATTTGCAAGAAGTGACAAAAGGAGTAACGATCCTCGTGTTTGTAAATTATGCCCACGCACCCCTTAGAAACATATGAAACCACATGTGTTATATCATTCCTACTACAAAGGTAATTCTACTTAAGCGCTACAGAGACTATTTCATCTGCAATATGAATGTATACATACCTAACTACACTCACATTAGTCACCATATTCATCAAGCTGACATTATCAACAGCCTCACTTAGAAAAAATTTACTTTAATACCATGTACGTTATTTTACAACTCTGAGCAGATGCATTAAGCGATTAAATTCGATACAAAAATTATAAGCCCAAAAAAAACTTTTCTGCTGCACAACTGTTTATAATAAGAGACCATACCGAGCATCCAAAAGGTGATAATATTAAATTTAACAATGACATTTAATTACATTATATACCATTTCGATTATATAAAATTGTAAAGCACATGTAAACAAAGTAGTTTACTTCGCTTCTGTCAATGACCCCCATCTCGAATAGGTTTTCGTCCAGTTTCCCTGAACGATCGAATATTGCTGAGAGGCCTTTTGATTTGCTCTGACATAAATTAACTTCATATCAACTTTTCACCACTAGCATCAACACAGTTTTTAACTGTTTTTATGTAAATAAATAAAATAAATAATTCATACAAACAATATAAATAAATTAAAACGTTACATTAAGTGATCATTCGCGTTATAATATTGATTTCTTTCTTTTTCGAGTTTTCTAAATTATTAACGAGTAGCACTATATATTTTGTAACTAAGCACAGATATGTTTCTTAGACAACTTATTAATTAGTATCTACTAAAAATATTCATTCGAACAAACCTTATCAGAGTATAGTTTACTGCCAGAAACGTACGATGTAGAACCCAACTTCTTCGCTGTTGGATGTTGGAGCAGACGAAGTGCTACGCGCCTCAACGAAATGAGATATCGGTACTGATAGAATTGCCAGGTCGACGGTAATCTCCTAGGCAGCGTAATTTGGCTCGAGTCGGGCCCTGATTTGGCCCTCGCCGCTCTGCTGATGGATATCGACCTTGCAACTTGCCCACCTAGAGCACGTGCATGCTCTTGGTAGCACTTGTAGCTATATACTGACTAATATATTTTCTGCATCATTCAACGTTCATCATATTTTGTATTGCCGGCTGAGAATTTTGCAACCAACCTAGTTGACCCTAAATATCACTACATTCTCGCCAGTATTTACGAAAAAAGAGGCGAGTATTACTCACATTTTTGTAAAATTTGCACATGATCTATTTCAAAATTAATCTTAAAAGAACTATCGTTAGAGAAATAATCTATATACTTTTTAGTTGGTAGAAAGGCGTCAAACAGTTTGCATTTCTAGTATTTTCTAACAATCATTTTTTTCAACCGAAAAATAAATCCTCCTTATTCCCTCAATCGTGCCTTTCAAACAATCCAATAACACATTTTTAATGAAAAAACGATGGAGTCATTTCTTTAAATTTGACAGTGTCCGGAATCGTACGTAAAGTACCCCCAAATTTTTGTAGATTCTAAAAAATTCGATTAAAACATAGGGCAACAATAAAAATTGTTAAAAAAAGTGCTTCCAAAAATACCGAATCCAATTTGCTTCAAACCGTTTTACGAAAGAGTATTAACTCTTCTAAAATGAGATATAATAAACCCATATATATGCCTATTAGTTTTGCATTTTTTACAGAAAGCTAATTTTTTAAATATTCTTACGTCCATAAAATGAAACATTACAGACGTATTTCATTGTTCAATGTGTTCTGTTAAACACATAATTACTCAAGTATATTCTCAAATTATTTTGAAGTAGATTATGTTTTTGAGTATAACAAACAATTGAAAATGCAATTTTCGCCCACGTTCGAACCAATTTTCTCAAAAGAACTTGGAAACTTTAGGAAATTCCTCCACAGTGGAAAAGTTTTAATTCTCTGCGATAATCCGAGAGTTGATTTGACCAAGCATATCTGGGCTTAAAACTTGAAAAAATGTTAAAAAAATATGGTGTTTTTTAATAGAAATAAAAAGTGTATAATGCACATAACGAAAAGTAAATCATTCGCTCAGTTGGAAATTATCGTCATTCGAATGTAACATATTTGATTTTTAATAGTTTGTCACGTTTTATTTAAATATTACCGTGTTAAGTGAAAAAGTATTGTATTCCCTCGTTAAAAAAATTGCAACTGGTTATACGATTGGTAACCCTGACAAGAATTTGTAAAATTAACCAATTTTGTTTTAATTTTTCAATCGCATCATTTTGGACAAAATTTAATTCAATATGCCGATTATTTTTTCCGATCAGATGACCGAGATCCCCTAAAATATAGCTGGGAGTCCCGCCTGAGCATGGTTTGAAACTCTGTATATGTGTGCCCTTTCACTTCTTCATTATCATCACACTTCATCTAAAATACTAAAAGCATGAAGCTACCAAACCAATACTAACAGTATTTGTTGCTTGCGTTTAACAAACCATGGAATGAAAAAACGGATGTAGCCAAATACATTCCATAAAAACTACATAAATCGGACCGTGAGATAACACTACTATATCCACTTAGCCAAGATAAATGCAAATATGCATTTACCCGCATGCTCGCATTAATTAAATGGCCTATTCGCGAGCACAAATCGAATTAATAAGATCGACCATTGCTTTAAAAAAAGGTTGTGTCAATACCAAAAATGATTTTTTTTTTCAATTTTCTTCATTCGAATTTCTAATTTCCGCATTTAGTTTAATTTAATTTAAACTACGGCTGTCCTAAATTATTTTTCCTTTAAACTTTTGTAGAGATGTTCTAAATATACTTATCAATATATTAAAACCCCCATTTTCCGCTATTATTTGGTTCGTTTAAAAAAAATTAGTTTAATTGCTTGGTGTCCTCTTACGCCGTTTAATATTTATATTCGAAGTCCA